TGAAGAAGGGTCTAGGCCCGAAACATCAGCCTTTCTGCTCCTATGATGCTGCTTAGCCTGCTGTGTTCATCCAGCTCTGCACCTTGTTGTCAAGTACACAGTGGTATGTTTTGGCAAGAAGAATATAGGAGCCAGTATAAACTATACGTGCAATTCTAATGGGGGAAATGAGGCAGTGGGTAGGAGCAGAGAAACCTGAGAGTAGATAGGCACAAATTATTGTGATATGGCAGATTGAAAAGGTAGTTAAAAGGACAAATAGAATCCTAAACTTTATACAGTACAAAAGCAAGTAAGTTATAAGACACTGGAATATTGTGCCCATTGATGTACCACACTTTAGGAAAGATGAGAAGGCTTTAGAGAGGTAACAGATATATTAACGTATGTACATATGAACTGGTAGCAGGAGGCTTTTCAGCCTCTCAAATCATTTCTGCCATTCAATAAGATCATGGCTGATTTCTGTTTTGAATTCCACATTCTGACCTGTTCCCAAAAACCTTTAATTCAATTCCCTATCAAAAATTCACTTCTACCTTAAAAATATTGAGTGAACTTGTCTCAATCACCTACTGAGGCTGAAGTTTCCAAAGTCTCTCAAACGTCAAAGAAAAAATCCTCCTCATCTCTGTCATAAAGTGTGACTCCTAATTTTAAACAGTGCCCTCTAGTCCTGGACTGACTCAAGAAGAAACTTTTCCACATCTACATTATCAAAACTAATCAGATCTTATGCACTTCAATCAAAGCACCTCCGTTTCCTCTAAACTCCAATGAAAACAAACCCAGTTTGTCCAACCTATCCTCATAAGACAACCCACTCATTCGAGATATCAATTTTGTAAGTAAAAATAAAATACTGCAGATGCTGGAAATCTGAAACAAACAGAATGTTGGACAAACTCATCAGGTGTGGCAGCATCCGTAGAGAGGGAAGCAGAATTAATGTTTTGAGTCTGACATGATTCATCTTAAGTAATGTTCTTTTGTTCTGATGAAATCTTCTGACTGAGAACATTAACTGTTTCACTCTCCATAGATGCTGCCACACCTGCTGAGTTTCTCTAGCATTTTCTTTGTTTGTATCAATCTAATAAACCTTCTCTAAACTGCTTCAACATGTTTACATCTTTCCTTAAATAAGCAGACCAAACTGGCACACAGTATTTGAGATATGGTCTCGACAACATCCTACATATCTGATGCATAACTTCATTCCTTTTATGTTGAATTGCTCTCATAATAAAAACTAACTTTCCACAGCTTTCTTAATTACTTGCTGTACCTACATACTAACCTTTGTAACTCAAGGACTAGAACACCTAGATCTCTCTGCACTCAGAATTCTGCAGTTATTCTGTTTTGTAATACTCCGTTCTCTTTGACAGGAAGAACACAAAAAACAATTTCATATTTTCCCTACATTATACTTAGTCTGCCAGATTTTTGCCAAATTATTCAACCTGTCTATATTGGGATGCTACCTCATTATGTTTTTTGACAACATACTTTTGTATCTGTCTTTGTGCCATCTGCAAATTTAATTACCATGTATTTTCTCCCTACATATATCAATATAACTTGTGAAAAATAAAAGCTGCAGCACAGACCCTTGTGGGACCCCAATTCCTAAAATATACCAAAAGACAAAGACCTATTTATGCACACACTTTTCTGCCAGCCAATTATCTACCCATGCTGGTGTGCTACCCCCTACACCATATGCATCTTTGTCAACTGCCTTCTGGAAACCCAAGTACAATTTTAATTCACTACCCCATTACCAGCAATACATGTTACTCCTTAAAAGAGCTTCAGTAAACTGATTAAACAGGATTTCCCTTTCACAAAACCATGTTAGCTCTCTTCTTGATTACCTCAAGTGTTTCCTAAATGGCGAGCTTTAACCTCCTTAACGATCAATTTAAGGTTTTTGAGTAGATTTGTAGCTCGAGTTGTGGATGTTGTGGTTGGTTCGCGTGCCGAGCTGGTTCGTTAGTTCGCAGACATTTCATTACCCTGCTGAGTAACATCATCAGTACAACCTCCAATGAAGCGCTTTTTTGTTTTTCTGCCTGGTACTTGAATCTCCATCTACATGGGTAAGGAAAACCACCAGTTCGGTTGGGACAACACCAAGATCCTAGGACAGGCTAAGCAGAGACAAGCACAGAAATTCCTAGAGGCCTGATTCTCCACTAAAAAGGTCATCAACAAACACATACAGCTAGACCCTATATATACTCACTGTGAGGAAAAACTGGAAGTGAGGTAACCCAACTCAACGGACCCCAGAGTTTAAATACCAGGTGGGAAACAACAACAGCGCTTCATCGGAGGCTGCACTGATGATGCTACCCAGAAGGGTAATGAAATGTCTGCGGAACAACGAACCAGCTCGGTGAGCCAACCAAACACAACATTAATGATCAATTATCTAACATCTTTCTCATGACGGACATCAAGCTAACTAGCCTATCGTTTGTCTTCTGCCTCCTCCTTTTCAGGAATAGAGGGGGAATATTTGCTACTTTCCAGTCTGATAGAACCTTTCCAGAATCTAAAGAATTTTGCAGAATTGACACCAACAAGTACTGTGTCATTAGCCATCTCTTTTAAGAATCTAGGGTGAAGTCCATCACAACCTGGAGATTATCAGATCCCAGTTCCATCAATTTGTTTAGTGTCGCTTTCCTGACAATTGCAATTTCATCAAGTTCCTCTTCCTTCCACCTTTTGGTAACAGCTATCATTGGGACTTTTTTAAAATCTTCCATAGCGATGATGGAAGTAAGTTATTTGCTCATTTCCTCGGCCATTTCCTTGCATTATTGTCTATTTTTTGCTCTCTAGAAGACCAACACTCAATTTATTTACTCTTTTTATTTTTCGATACCTGCTAGAATCTTTGCTATCTAATTTTACATTTCTAACAAGCA